TTTTTAAACAATTAATTTTTTTGACTGCATTATTTTGCTCTTCATACTGTTAACTTCCTATAAGTCTAAACATTTCCCTTTATTCTATTTGCCTGTTCCATTTATCACGAAAAGAAAGATAAAAACAAACAAACAAACAAAAATGAAATATATACCTTCTCAGAAAAGGTGAAGAGAAAATTTAAAAGCTGGTAACTACAAGATACTTTTAACTCAGCAAATCTCATCCACGCAGAGGGATGAATTTTGTTCTGTGTTATTTTAAAGATAATTTTTAAAACATCTACTTCCTATTTGCTATTTCAATAAGCTGTCTGAAACATCTGCATATTTTTAAGTTTCTGTCTTTTCACATTATTTTAATTTGATACCCCAGTGGATCATCTATTATTTTACACACCTGACCTTCATTTATTGTAGTGTACAAGACTACAGTGTAACTCTCTTCAGTCTTGATCACCATCATGCCTTACTGCTATTGCAGGGGAAAGACAGCTCAATGATCTAAATGAGAAATGTATGTGTATACATCTGCATTTAGATATGCGTAGGGTTATAAAACATGCTTGTGACATACAGAAGAACAGCCCAGCAGTAAAAGCCTACCCTCCTGACTGCTCAGGAACATGTTCCATTAACATTAACTAAGCTTATCAAGTCCTGGGCTTTTTTATTTATTTATTTTTAACCGTATTGACTTTTTAGAGTGAATTAGGACACTGCAGCCCAGACCAAAGGCCCTTACTAATTTCCTTATTTATTACTAGGAGTCAAGAAATCAGTCCTGTACAATTCCCACAAGGATGCAGACAGAGTCTGGACAGACAGGCAAGTGAGAAGTGGGAGCTAATGAATATTGCTCTAGTGTCAGACAGGTAAAGCACTCCCCCCTTCCTGTTAATTCAATCGAAACAATGAAGAGAAAAACCCAACCCGCCCTTGTCTTGTTTGGCTTAGACATGAACCCTTGATAAGACTCTGGAAAACAAGAAAGTTTGTAATAGATTTGAGCTACCTTTGGCTGAGTAACTTATATGTCATAAAAATGTGAATATAGTGGTATACTTCTGCAACCAATGTAGACTCAGCTTGATATGCTGTAGATAACAGAAAATGACTGAGATAAAGAATAATATAACATTTTTACTTGAATATGACATACTTTACATTTCTTTACAGAAAGGATATCCCAGCAGGAAGGAGAAAGGTGGAGCACAATCCCTGTAGCATTTCTTGTTCTGCATTGTGCGAAACTTTGTAGGGACACAGGAAGAGGATACGGAAGTTTCTACAGGAAAACGGAGAAAAGTTCAAACATAAACAGCATCCAAAAAAATTTACCAACAGTTTAGAACATTTCCTTTTTCTCTTTAAATACTTGAAGACACTTACATTATAGTTTACTATACATTTCTATGTATATCCACTTTTGCAATTTCTCTCCCAATAGCAGTTTAAAGCAATTTTTAATGTGAATTATGCAAACTATATTCTGTGTGCTAATGTAAGCAATAATCTATTTGGTACAGCATTCTCCTTTTAGCAGAATAAGTGAATGTTGGATTAACAAGTTTATCTTGCATCCTCTGCAGGATTTTGAAGGAACTTGGTGTTAAAGAAGATGCTCCTGAAGAACACTTCAATAACTGAAGGCCACTGAAGTCAAAGGAAAGTTGCTAAAACTCCAACACCTTTTGAACAAGGATGGGCGGTCTTGCTTCAGCCAAGCTTTAAGAATGTGCTTAAATCTCTTATTGCATGCAGCTGAAATGTGGATAAAAGGGTTATAGCTGATGCCTTACCTCTCTTCTTACCTGGGAGAGTTGTGCTTCACCAGATGGTGCTAGTGGTGGGCAACAGCCAACTTAGCCATTCTCCTAAATTTGTGGTTGCTTGAATTTTATTTTATTTTATTTTATTTTATTTTATTTTATTTTATTTTATTTTATTTTATTTTATTTTATTTTATTTTATTTTATTTATTTTTTTATCTTAAGTACAACATGAAAGCACGTGGTTAACTCTTCAGGGCTTCTTTAAAGAGGGTGGATTTTGGCTTGTGTTTATAGTCTTTGGCTAAGTCTGGATATAAGGAGCATACAGTTTTTATCAAAAAAGCTTTCATTTAAATGTGTCATCTCTTGATAACAACTGGTCAACAGCACACAACAAAATATGAGACAATATTCATATAACCATAGCTCTGGTTATATGTTAGCAATTCTCATAGAACTGCAGCTATCACTAGTACTTGGTAAAATGTTATCAGATAGGCAAATGGATATCAGATTTTCAATGTGTACATTTAAGGTACAGGCAGAAGAGCGGTCCTGAAATAATACATAGCAAACCAGCATGAGAAAGATGCACAAACTGGGAATTTCTGGAGGAACAAAATCAAGTTTGCATTGCCTGCAATTAAGCCTGCATTACTTGAGTTTTTAGAAGGATCAAAATGCTGACACATTTAAATGATTCAAATCTGGGTATGGCTACGCTGAAAGGTTTCTGTACTTGTATTTTAAATGCATGGGAAAAAAACATCAACAAAACACATCCCAACATCCCATCATAGACAGCAGAAGAGGAAAATCACATTTTAGCTGTGCTGAAGGCAGAATATTCATGTATGTCTGTTATCTATGTATCCATGTCTCCTACCTTGAAGCACCTATTTGGACAGCTACATTAGCTGGGAAAATCCCCCAGGATCTCTGCTAGAGAGCAGAGAGATGTGATTTTCTAGCAAGCAAAAGGTACCTACAGTTATGCTAACGGCAGTCATTTCCCATAAGAAACTCACAGTGCATGTGCTTTATGGTCTGTACCAATGGCTGGTTAGGGGTTAGTTTGGGTTTTAAAAGCCCGAAGACATTTTGAAGATTTATTTGCTTTTCCGAAGTGTCTTTTATATGAGTTTTATAACTGCGGCTATTGAATATGAGAACAGGTAAGGCTTTAAGAAAACATTGATTATTAGAAAATGCACATCACCAAGATAATTAACTTTGTAACAGCAACATGATAACACAAACATCGGAACATTATAATCAAATACACTATAATTAAAAGAAATAAAAGAAAGAAAGAAAAACATTGTCATCTGCACCTAACTCAAAATTAAGAAGTGTCTCCCCAAGTGTGTATCATACAGGGAAACATAAAAGCTTCCAAGGTCACATGTTGAAGACAAAATCTGCACAACTTCATTTGTCAGCTAGAAATCTTAAAATTAGTGCGGGTTGAACAGAAGTGGCAGTGAGTCGCGCTCCATTTGACCAAAAGCATTTGAGAACAGTAAAAGCAGTTTAATTATATTCAGATGCTATGGTGATACTTGGCAGCAGAAATACCTTGGTTAAGTTATATTTAGAGATTAGGTTAGAATAAAATAGACAGATGGGAGGCAGGAAAAAGAAAGAAAAGATAGATGAAATGCAACTAAACTTTTACCTCAGACCTTTAATTAATTAGTCTGGGGAAAAAAATGCAGTAGAACAGATTGAAAGATTTAAGAGAAGCTCAGTGACCTCTCAAATAGTTAATCTTTGTGGCTAGATTAGACCATGGGTTTATTCAAAGATTCCCGGAATCCTCTTTCCCTGTTTTCACGGATTGTTCATTTAGGTGCTACAGGCTCCTTCAGCACACAGCAGCACGGCATTCCTGAAATGACAAAAAATTGTAGGCAATTGCACTGCACGCAGGAGGTAATTCCTTATAAATCTTTCACTAAGAAGGCAAACCTAATGAAATAGCAGATGTTAAGTGATGCTTTTAATCTAAACATGTTGGGTCATGTGCTTTCTTCCACAACAACACACAGGGAAAGCAAAACATTCAGGAAAGCAAAAACGTGCCAGAGGAAGAGGAGCGTAAAAGCGGTCATTTCCCCAAACACTCCTTCCTGATCCAGCACCGCAGCCTTCCCGGGCTGGGTAGAGGACAAGGACGGACACCAAAACATCATTCCCATAAGACTGCATGTAGATTTCTAATCGCAAGGCAGCAGTAATGCTCATTCACAGCCTCTGCCAGGAGGGACTGGAATGCGCTCCCCAAGGAAACAAAAGTCCGTGGGAGGAGGGAAGAGGCTCCTGCTTCTTTGCTGAGGTCCTGCCATCTGCACAGGATACTTGCTTCGTGGTGTGAAGAAGCACTTAGCCCTCCTCCTGCCTCTGATGGCAAACTTTTTAGGTTGAAACTTGCAGGATTTCTTTGTTCCAGAAAACATGGCACGAGGTTTTCAACCTTTTGATGCTGACATGCAATGTTTTTTCCCACTATTTAGATCCTGCTTTGAACAACACACACAGTTTTGTCATTGTCTGCCACCTAAACCCTTTTGTAAAGCGCACAATTTTACTCAAGACAGGTGAGCAAAATGCCCAGGAAGGAATAATGCTTGAAGTGGAGCAATGTGCAGTGCCTTCTTCTGAGTTTCTGTGGGTTTAGAGTCAGTGCTACACCCTGGAGGTAGCTCTGTACAGTACTGCAGACTGGCTCTGCTTGCCAGTGAAGCTGCCTGCGAGATGAGATAAAACTGAAGACCAGGCCACTTTGTGAGCAGAACGGATCCCCCAGGACTTTTTGCAGTAATGAAGTTGTTGGCTCTGAAACTCACGTTTGTCCAGCTACAGGGAAGTGTGAAAGAGAAAAGCCAAACCTGCTAGAGGAACATTCATCAATATTGATGCGACATTTGAAAGGCATTGAAATAGCAATGTTGTGGAGGGCAACCCAAAATCCTGCATGAATTAGGCTGTTGTTCCAACTCAGGTGATCAGGTTCTATATAACCACCTTCCAAAATCCCCCGGAAATCCTCCTGCAACCTGGCAGGTGGTTATTCAAGCCAGAACTACTAGAAAATAAAAGCAAAGAATGGTTACTTCTGATTTTGCCAAACAATTTCTGGTGGCAGATGTCAAAAAGACCAATACAAATGTGAAACCTCTTCACTACAGAGCTTGTAATCTGGAAAGAAATACAAAATGTTCAGAGAGGGCAATATAACACATACTTTTATTAAATATACATGCAATTAAATTAGTAAATGAAATGACAATTATTTCCAACAGCTTTCAACTTTGTTCTCAATAATTGTACATGATTATAAACATCTATGTACATTTAAGGAAAAATGTGTACTGCAAAGTGGCATTACAATTATTTAATTTAATACTATAATTACAGTCGGACTAAAGACTCTGAGTGAAATTACAGTAAAACATAGACCAACAGACATGACCCTCAGCCTGATGAATGTAGACAGAGCTCTGGAGAGCAGCAAATCTGCTTTTTTTTTGTTTTTTTTTTTTTTGTTTTTTTTGATGTTGTTGTTGTTTCTTTGCTTTAGATAGGTTAATTATAGAAGCACATGAGATTTATGAACATTTTAAAAATACAGTAGAAACAATCTGAAAGGACAGACAAAGCCTGGTTTCTTAATTGACGTAATCTAATGAAAATGAGGCAGAATTATAGTCACTATACTTAGGAATGCTTTGGGGCGATTTTTTTCAACAGAAAGCCAGGTTTATAAATACGGGCTCTTTTACAAACTCTACAATCCCTAGATAAACAGGCCACAGAGACATCTTGGGTGCATATGTTTGTGCAGAGTTCGCCTGAACCCATCAGATTAGGGCTTTCAGTGGCGGTAATGTGCCTTTCTGGTGGAAGGGGAGCTGTCTCCTGTTACTCCCGGTTCTCTCCAAGTGCGACAGCTGTTGTCTGGACCAACTCTGAGCAATGAACAACAGCTTCCAAAGCTAAACCCCCAGATCTCAACAGCTTAAGGACAGGACTCGGGCTTTATAATTAGCAGTTGTGATGGCAGTATGCACTGATGAATAGGCATGAACAGAGACATGGAAGTTGACTAGTGACCCTGCTAAAAACATAACCAGCATTTTTATGACTACATTAACAAACAGGTTTTCTGAGTGGAATTGCTTTTGCAGAGGAAAAGGGCTTCTACACAAAACAAACCTGTAATTTGCCTCGTTCACCACCTTGTATTTTCGTATCAGCTAGTCCTTAAAGACTAAACTTAAGTCTAAACTAATACTAGACTTAGTTAAGTCTAAACTAATTTAGCTAGGTAGATATCATGGATGAGAGAATTTTAATGACAACTCTGTAAAGCACAGTGTTTTTATCAAGCACAAAAAAGTCTCAAAAAATATTTTCTAGATGATATCCATGTTACTAGAATCACTAGCCCTGGCCAAAAGCTCACAGTTTCTTCCACTTCCAACAGAATTTTCTGAATTTGTGTTTCCAACATATCTTGATGGCTTTTTTCAATTGAACAAATTTCTCACTTTCTTCTCCACCACCCACAGGGTGATATGAAGAGCCCTCCCCCAGTGCCTGCCCAGTCTCCAGCATGGCAGCTTTGTTTAGTTTTCTACTTCACTACCTTGACAAAGAAGAACTAGTGCTGTAAAAAGTATTCTAGTACTCATCATAAATAAACATGTTCATTTTTTAACCATTTTTTAAGGACATAGCATGCTGTGTGAAAGAAAAGAAGTCTTGGTTTGGAAAAGTAATATTGGCTTTGAGGGTTTGTTCTCTCACATCTCCATACCACTGGTACTGGCCAAGGCAACTTTGGAATGTCTCTGCTTCTTCTCATCTTCACACAATTAATGGAAGATAAATGGAGAAGATGAAGGTAGGTACCCCCAGCTGTTGGTCCAACATTGCAGTTATTGGGACTGTAAAAGCCCCTCTGGCTGCCCTGCTTTTGAAAATCAGGTCTTCAGCTGGACTTCCTAAGTGAAGCTTGATTCCTGCACCCTAGTGACTTAAACACTTAATGCTAGGACTTTGTCCTCTCCACGTTTTAATCTAGGAAATGTGCTGTCTGGAGTTAAACGTTTTCATGCTTCTTCATTTGGGAAACACCAAGCGAGCAGACCTCACGTCTGTAGTCTGATTCAGAATGACTTCTTGAAAGGGAATTGAAGAAAATGACAAAGTTATGCAATTTGGTGTGCCAGTACCGCGTTACGAGGAAGAGAAGGGGGAAACCCAGCCAGCCTCCAGACTCCCACCAGGCTGCTCCCCGCCAGCTGCTCGGGTGCTATTTACTCATGCTTGGTGGCCAACTGCGATGAGCTTTTTATTCTCACGGGAGCATGGTTGTGTTCCCTGTGACACTGCAAGGAACAAGGCGTCAGGGAGGTAAAGCACGATCATGGCTTCTGTGTCACTGCAGGTTGAGAACATTTGGAGCTGCGTTGTTTGAACAGTAACTCTTGGGACATGTTAAAATAAATGGTAAAATGAGTAAATCTGTGAAAAGAAACAGCAGTGCAGTATTGATTGTAAAGTATTATGTATTTAACATCGCTGATGCACTTTATGCTGGGCAGAGAGAAGATGTGTCCCACGCTCTGGGAGTTTCCAAATAAAATCGGGAGTAGCGAGGATGTAGCGAAGATACACGAGACACAAGGACGTAACACCAAGCCTGGGAAGTGCTTTTAACAAATCCTTTCCCAAATCCCCTTTCAGCAAGCCCAGCTCGCAGCTGAGGAGCGCGGCTCGGAGCCCAGCACGCCCCCTCCCAGCACACTGCCTCAGAGCCGCGCTCCGCTCCCTCTGGGGCTCGGCACCTCGAGCACCCCTCGGCTGGGCTCGGCTCCCCCCTTCCCTCTCCTCACGGCCCCAGCGCTCCCCTCAGCGCCCCGGGGTCCCCGTGAGGAGCCGCCGGGTCCCCCCCCCGGGGGCCGCCCCGCTCTGAGGGCCGAGGCGGCCCCGGCGCCTCACCTGCGGGGCCGTGTGGCCGAGCCGCGGTGTCGGCGGCGGGGGCGGGAGGCTCCTCCCCGGGGGTGTAGCGCAGGAAGAGGGGGAGGCCGGGGAGCCGGCGGGGCTGCCGCGGAGGGCTGGGAGCCGCCGTGAGGGCAGCGCCATGCGAGCGGCCGGCGCTCCGGCCATGCTGCGCGGCGGCGGGCGGAGAGAGGGGCGAGGGGAGGAAAGGGCTGTTTACACAGACTGCAAACCGCCTGGGGAATAATGCAGGAAAGGAAGTGAGCCGGCTCGCTGTCTGACTGCCCTGACTTCCTGCTCGCTCTCTCTCGCACAGACACACACACACACACACCGACAAAAAAAAAAAAAAAAAAAAAGAGAAAAAAAGAGAGAGAGAGGAGAGAGGAGGGGGGGATCGGGATCTCGTTACAAGAGCAACAGAGCGCTCGCGGAGGACTGTCAGCATGGGCAGCCGGGGGGTTTTACCCAGCTCCCTCTAAAGCACCGGGAGGCACCGGGAAAGCCCCGCAGGCTCTGGGTAGGTACGGGTGCTGCCGCGCCGGGACAACCCCACAAAAGTTTCGGGGGGCTGCGGGGAGGGCGCAAACCCCCTTCTTCCTTCCTCCCCCCCCCCCCTACGGAAAGGGGACCCCCGCGGGTCGGGGTGCGGGGCGCTGCGAGGGGACCGGGGGGGGGCACGGACAGCGCCGCCCCGGGGGGCTGCGGGGGGACCGGGGGTGGAGGACAGGGGATGGGGTCCCCACAGACCCCCTGCAAAGCCCCCCAGCCGCGTCCTGCCCCGGTGTCCCCCCCCCCTCGGGCAGCATCACCATAAGGGAGCCGGGGGGGTGGCACCGCCGAGGGGGCGCCGGAGGGGACCCCGGAGCCGGCGGTGGGGGTGAAGGGGGGAGGCTGCCGCAGAAACTGCAAAAGGGGCTTTAAAAAAAAAAAAAAAAAAAGTGTCGGGAGAGTTTCTGGCTTGTCTGGAAACAGCAAGACTAATTGCCATGCGCTTCCGGTTTGAAACTGGCAGCAGACAACATCTTGAAAATGAGTCACTGCAGCTCACAAAGAAACTCTGTGGTTTTCTCCCTCTCAGGTTTATATATTTGCTCTTTTTACAGTTTCCTTTGTAGTCCTCTGCGTTCTGCCCGGCCCTCCCCCTCCCCACTTTGCTGAGCCACCCCCTGCCCCAAGACCCCTTGGCCGCCTGCTGATAGTTTCCACGACCAGCCGAAAAAAAAAAAAAAAAAACAACCCTGAAAATGTTTGTAAGGAAAAAGAGAGAGAGAGAGAGAGAGAGAGAGAGAAAGGGAGAGAAAGTGGAGAGTTGTTTTTGGATCTGGCTTTGCTGAAGGTTAGAGGGACTCTGATGCTGCAGGGGGAAAAAGTTCCCTGAATTTTCCACTGGCTGCAGGAAGAGAGCCCATTTAGTCATGGCTAAGTAATGTCTGCACACACACCAACTAATCTCATTAGGAGTTTCCGTTCCCTAACACAGGAGGGTTTTGTGAAGCCCTGTCAGCCTTCCTAGCATTGCAGTTGAAAGGGAGACAAGTTACATCTTTATTTACTTAGGGGTGTAGTGCTGGGACAAGTTTGTACAATGCAGCATCTTTTTGGTCGGGAGGACGACAGGAGTTGGTGGCTGCATTTGATTTCAAGCAGAAAGCTGTGGTTCGTCTCGTATTTTGCTCGCGCAGGCTCCTTGATTATTTCAGATTGAATGCAGTTTATTAAATATTTGCATAAGGTGAAGTGCAGAAGTGGGGAATGCGGAAGGCTGTGTTAAGATAAACATAAGCTCTGCATCCATGACGATTGAATGTGATTGAATGATAAAAAGACACTTGTGACACGGTGCTGGGGCGATGAGTGTGTTTCAACTGTATATTCTCTCGTGTAGCCTTGCTGTATTGGCACTTTCTTATGTGTTTAGTTTTCAAGTGATATTTATTTTGTATACGTCTCTTTTAATTTAGTGGTTTTTGTAATTATTTTGATTATTTTGTGGTGATTGGCTTTCACAGCAGTCATGAAAAAAGTCCACGGTCAGAATTAGAAAGATTTTTGCCGTGACCCAGTGATCTATAATTTCAATTAGAAGTTAACTTTTTTTTTTTTTTGGGGGGGGTGTCTGGAGAAAACAAAGAAAATGTAGTCTTGCTTGCAAGTGTTCTTTTCCTTAAAGAACCTTAAAGAAACGTCCAAAATGTGAATAAAATTGCAAGTTAGAGGAAATAACACTTAGCTACTTAACTTGAATTATTGTGTGATATCATTAAACTAGTAAATAGTGTGCAACAAAAGAGTAACTGGATGGAGGACTAATTGCAATACACCATGTGTTTACCTTTGAGGATCTTCAGTGTTTCCTGTACTTTCTATGTCCAGGCTGCACAGAAAAATTCCTCATTAACGTCACTTTATGGAGGAGTTTTATTAGGGGATTACTGACACGGTCTCCAGACACAGATGCCCCTTGATTTCATGGTTGGGCAGAGAAAAAAAAATCAAAAATAATATATAAACCAGAAAATGCCTGACCTCTGTTCCAATTGAATGCAGTCATCAGGTAGCGAGAGTTATTTTCTGGCTTTGGAGTTTTATTTCTTTTGTAAAATCCTAGGATCTTTAGGGAGAGGTACATCACTATGTATAACATTAAAAAATCTGTTGAATATGTTAGGGAACAGTTAGCTTGATGTACAACACCCAGACTCTTATCGAGGCTTTTTGAGGCTTTCCCTTGCTCTTATTATCTCTGCTTGAGATATGCACCTTTAATTGCCCACTTACTGCGTTAAACATTGCTGGAATTTCAGTGTGCCATCTGCTGAATCAGCGTAGGTGAAGCACGCACGTTGGTACGTACAGATATGCAGTGCAGATATCCCATACACATCTAACTTTCATATAGTGCATTTGCTCAGCGTAATTAAAAACATCTTGATGTCCACACAGAAAAATAGATGTAGTAGTAATGTACCAGTTGTGTGTTCTGTATATTTGAAACAGTGAATGAGAAGCAGTCCATAGATTGTATTAAAGGTACAGCAGTTCGGTTTGGAAGAGAGAAAAACCCAAATACCCAACAGTGCACGATGGTTTTCCACTTATGTAATAAAGAGGTCTTAGAGGTGTTTCACTATGATTTTATTCTTTCCCTCTTTCAATTTGTGAAATACAGAGTGTGTGAGAAGCAAATATGCTGTTGGCTAAGGGATGAGATGTTATCATAACTGCTTGTATCTCAGTTTGCTGATCACCTCCATGAGTTGTTCCTAAAAAGAAAAAATACAGGCTTTTATCCTTCTCGGTATTGCCAACTCCTCCTCTATGCAACAGCTGAAACCAGCAGCACAAGCTCAGGGGAGAAGCTCAGCTACAGCCTTCCTTGTAACTGTGTTTACAAAACACAACACGCATGGATGCTTTCATGTGTAGAAACAAAAATCTATTTTGTTTTACCCATTAGCAAACAAAAATCTATTTTGTTTTACCCATTAGCACTTCTCACTGCTTACTGATGCACGGTGCATCTTTGCTATTACTTAATATTTCATTAAACTTAAATCACGAAAATAATTCAAGCGTCTCGCTCCAAAGACTGAAGTATTCCCCTTTGCTCCGTGCGAGGTCTGATGATGTACACGTTGCTGTCTTGTTGTATTGCTGTTCTTGGGCTGGAGGCCAACTTCAGGGTGTGCTGTGATCAGTGGTATTCGTATCGGGACGGTGTTGCTGGTGATAGCATAGCTGGAATCTGCCTTCTCCTAAAGTCCTGTTCTGGAGGACTTGGATGAAAGTCTTTTGTCAGGTTCATCGTGGTGCAGGGAGCTTGCTTTACATGTGGGAAGACAGGTATATGCACTACTTAGGGACTCCTGGGTCCGTCAGCTGTACAGAAAATGCAAATCTTAGCTGTGGGAATGCAATTACATGGCACTGTGTGGCTTCAGAAAATCAAAGACAAGAAGTAAAGCTGGAATCAAAAGATTTGGTCAGTGAAGGTAGGGGAGAGTGGAAGACCCAGCATGCAGTTACGTGTGATGCATGTATGTATAAACCCTTATTTGAGCTGGTGTACCTTGGTGGCATCCTGTACATCTTGTATGGTCAGGTATTTACAGTTACCTCTGTTCGGTGAGCGGCTGTGTGTCACAGTGCTGAATAACCCCAGACAGAAGAGGACTGGCTGAGTGGAGCAGTGCCACAGAGGTGCAGGCAGGTTGCACCCCTGCATGCAGCACACGATTTATCAGGCCTGCAGCTGCTGGTGTCAGTGGCCCCAGTCTGCAGCATGGCTGAAGGCTGGTTTTCTTTTTTTTCTTTGACACCTATTACAGAGCATGGCTAGCCCAAGCTGGTTTCAGAGTGCCGCTGGTTGTGAGCTGCGGTGCATGGTTGGTAACTACACCCAGTGGCTCCTGCGGCAGGCTGTGGCTTTGGGGCGTTTGGAAACCACCTCGTGCTGCCCATGCGGGGAGCCAGTCGCCTGTGGCCTTCCCCTCCCTGTTCCCCACAGCAGGGAATCTTGCAGACCTGAATCCTTAGGCAGGTGTTTCCTTGGTGTGTGGCTTGCTGAAAGGGTCATCTAATGTTCTGGAGGCAGTCGGGAGCTCTTGAAAGACCGAACGTATCTGTTCTCATGTTGGAGTGTGATCGAGTCATTGAAGAGTGGAGTGATGAAAGAATTAGTCATGGTTTTTTGGGAGAATGTCAAGGTGTAGGAGCAGGAAGTCCAGCTCACTGCTCTGCAAAACACAAGGCCACGTGTCTGGAAACAAAGCAGCTGAAGCACCAAGCACACCTTACCCGTGCACTTCACTGAGCAGAAAGCACACCTTTGTCCGTAAGACTGTCTTAAAACCCCAGCCAGTTTGTGCACCAGGAATCGTGTCAGAATTCAGCTTCTTAAGGGTTTGCTTCTAAGAGTGGATTTTAACTCAGAAGCTCTTTGAAGGAGACTTGCTGCTTTTCTGAAAGCAAAAACTAAACAAAACACCTGCTGTTAGCATTGATACAAACATAACACATGCCAGGTAGGTCAACTCCGACTAATAACTGCGCAGACATTCTGCGTGTTTAATTTTACACGGGTGCTGTGGTGCCTTGGGGGGTACCAAAAGTACTCTAGAATTCTCGATCTGTCTATCCAGTGTCATTCATGGTCAGGATCTCACAGTGTGATGAATAACTGACTATTTAGGAAATTATTTTAAGTCATGTTATAGTTGAGAACACCAGAGGCCAAATTTTGCCATGCCAGTTAGCAGACAGAGCTCAACCAAAAGTTACCCTTTCTATCACTCCTGCGGCATCACAGTTACCAGTACCACATCTGCTCTTTCCCTTCTTGCCCTGGTAGTGCTGCCATGGCTATCTCCAGCAGTGGTTTTGGGATCCGTAATTACTTGGAGCGGTTGCACGGAGCTGGTGTGTCAGCGTGGCAGTCGCAGTGCGGCGCTGCCCGGCCCGTGGGAGGGATCCACTGGGCCCTGCCCGCGTGGGCCACGAGGTGAAAACTGCTCACCT